GTCAGGATCTCAAACTTTGGAGTAGGAACCAACTTCAACAGTTAAATAAACAAGTAAATAAAAAGATGCACATTATATATATGCGTGGAAAAATAACCTAGTTAGGCCGGAAAAGATTTGCAGCATTGAAACCACATTTATGACACTTTTTGAATGTGCATTTTACTTTTGATTGTTTAGAGCCTAGGCTTTGTACAAATTGCACCCCTCACATAATGCTTCTAACGACGATACCAAAACTTTAGATTAAAAAGAGAGAAATCTTCTATGTAGATATTTTGCAGGTGGGAGTATGTACATAATGTGATCCAGCAGGGTACACTAAAGCCCATCTTATTTTAAAAAGTAAAAAGGACTTTAAAATAGGAGGGCCCTTCAATGCAAGTTCCCCTGAAAATTTCTTAATATATAAGAACCACCGATGAGTTCCCTTGCATTGAGACTGCAATGGCTTCAAATTTCAGTCCATTTCTCAATTGCAAGGACTTGGGACCATGAGAAGCATTTGTGACTCTGAGCAATGGAGACCTTCGCAGCTTTTACTTTGGCATTTTAGGTACATTTGTGGATAATATTATGGATCTTCTGTTAATTTTGATTGATTGTTCCATAACTATTTTTTTCAATTTGTTACTGCAAGGAGGCTTCACAGCTACTGGTGGGAAGTTCAAGTTGTTAGCTTTTTTTGAGAGAGAGACGTTAAGGGAGTAAGAAGTTTGAAGTTGAACTTTTTTGAGAGAGATATGTTAAGGGAGTAAGAAGTTTGAAGTCGAACTAAAAGAGATTAAAGCTCGTTTAATGCATGCTATGGAGTAAAAAGAGTATCTACTGCACACTTTTATTTTCGGTACATTTCAAGTCTTAGAAAATAGTGCGTTTTGTAATGTTATCTAATAAAAAAATCGGCATAAAAAAGAACATCCCGAGTCGTCTCTCTCTCCACTCTTCCCACCTTCATCCCTCCTCCGCCTCTCTCTTAACACTTTCTCTCTCTACTCTTCCCACCTTCATGCATCCTCCGCCTCTCTCTAATACTCCCAAAGATAGCACAAAATACCTCAATGAATATTAACACAAACTGCCAATACCATGAATTGGAGTAGAAAACCCCAACCTGGTACCTGTGTCAACAAATTTATATGAATTCATAAATCTAGATCTTGTGTCAAGACGGCGAATTGGGACTCCAAATGCTTCCAAACAACACAAAGCATGTGCAATTACCCAAAAAACACAAGGTATGTGCTCCTTTGAACTCATCCACTGTGAATCATTAAATTAGAAAAAAAAAAAATGGATTCACAATTAAAATGCTCAGGTATAAGCAAAATCAGCATTGATATGAATTTTTATAAGATCCAAGTAAGCTTCTCATAAAGTTAAATCATTCTATGTAGGCATGTTTTCTCTCTAACGTTCATGTTTTCTATGAACCCTTTGCGGATGCTTGCTTAGGCCTTCGTTATAGACGTAGAGGGATGGCAGAGAAGAGAAGGGTTCATGTTTTCTATGAACCCTTTGCGGATGCTTTCTCTCACACCCATGCACTCTCTCTCTCTATGCACTAGGGCTCTCATACCGCTGTACTCTCTCTACATAGGCTCTCGTACCCCGATGTTTTATCGCTCTACAAATTCCTCTACCCCAATTTGTATTGTAGCCCTCTTACCATCAACTCTCATATCATTAAGTCCTCACTCGTCAAGCCCTTGAAGCTATTTCATGTATGTTTTTTATTGTTTTTAATTTTCTCATCAATCCAAAAGGGTTTTGGATTGATGGGTTGTTGCAGAAGATTTTTTAGATCAATATTTTTTTAGGATAAATTATCTGTAAATGATGGATTTTTCGGTTTCTTGTTTCTTTTTCACTTGATTTGGTTTCTTATCAGTTTTGGTTTCTCTCTCTTATGTGTCCTTGTTTTTCTGTGGTGCTCTGATTTTAATGCTCTCTCTATGATGCTTTGATTTTTCATTTAGCATCAGTAGCTCTGTAAATCTTTGCGTTAAGCTTTTTTTATTTTTCATTTACCGTTTATTCATGCAAGATCTCTGATCAAATGCGATATAAACCTTGAACAGTATCTGAACGTTGTTATTATTGATCAAATGTGATTGACACTATAGAAATCAATGAAACTATAGAATTTAGATCAATGGATTGATTGTTTATGACTAGTTGTTGTTCCTTCTTAGGAATGCACATTATTCATTACTCAAGTAGCTATTCCTTACTCAAATAGCTATTCCTTCTTAAGGATGTAACATGGAGCATTGTTGTGGTATCAAAATTGCTGTCGTTAGAAGGCACTGCTTTCTCATCCAGCAGGTTAGCAGTGCAGTTCATAACTTGGGGGTAAGAGCCAAGTTGCTTTGAACCAATGTTTGTTCACAGGATTGCCTTGTGAATACCATCAGGAACTGGAAATCTTGCCAACCAACGAAATGTCATATTCTCACAAGCTTAATAGAGTTGGAGTTATAAATCCATTTTAGGGTATTATTATATTTCTTTTGTTGTGGTTTTTACTATTTCATTGGATTGATAGAGGTTGTTATTTGGTTTAAGCAATGAATCTGGTTTAGCTATTTTAATTGGCTTGGAGTTATTTGGATGATTGTTTAGTGGAATTGGCTCCTCTTTGGGTGATGTCTTTCTTTAGATTTTTGATTTGTAGATGAAATCTTAGTTATTCTTTTCATTATTTCCATCTTGAATTTACTGGAGCCATTTGGTCTTGATTTTCATGGAAGAATTGATGTGTAGTTCACATAAAACAAGAGTAGGCAAAGTGATTGGTTAAATTCATATCTAAAACAGCTTCCATTTAACCCGTTCAAGTCATTTACTTCATTGGATATGTAGAAGTTCTATTAGGTATTTTTTTCTTCTTTATGTTTTAATGTTGTTACTTTTCTTGTTAAATGTTTTTAATTGTTAGTATGATGAAAGTTTCAATTGCTATTTCAAGGATAAATAATCAGGGAGTCAATTGCCTTAGAGCCAAATGGGCCTCCATGACCTTTTTGTCTTATGAATGGGAAAATATCCCCTGAACTTCATCTCCTAAAAAGCATCAGTCAAGTTCACAATCTTGTTATTGTTAATCAGTGAAAACCGTTTTTAGTACATCTTATGGCTTGATTGTTCTCTCATTGTATACAAGGTCCTATTTACCCTTGTGTTTTTGCTATCAAGTTCTCCATTTCTTGCGAAGCTATGTGAATGTGAGATTATACTAGTTTGTGTTTTAGATCATTGTGGAAGAAGACTTGCTTAATGAGGTGTGGCAATAACTTCCAAAGAGAAGCTAAAGCTTCAGGGTAGTCTCAATATGGAAGTATGAAGATTTGTTATCTGTTTATTGCATAATGCCATTGAGTAACGGCTTTTTATTGAATTTCACTAGGCATGCCTGCTGCTCCAGCAACTCATTGTAATTTTCATCTGAATGAGTTGCGTTTTTTTTTTTTTCATTTTATATAAATTAAAGTTGTGATTTCCACCTTTAACTAGGAACTGATCATCTCTGGTTTGTAGGATGCATTATGATCTATCTCATGATGAGAGGCACTTAGTTACATAGACCTTGCATTCTTTATATATTTCTACAGAAGGCCTCTATTCTGAAATGCCTAGATTTCAAAAGTTGAGCTCTGTGATGTTGGTTATATTGTATCTGAACCTGTTACCCTCGCAGTAGTTTTACTGGTTAGAAGAATATAATGCAAGATCGTTAGATCAAAATGCCCAAAAGGAATTGGTTAGTACCCATTTGTATGAAGAGAAATTGGTTACATATATCATTTGGCATTTTGATAATTTTGACCGTAGTATCTTTAGACTTGATCATGATTACTTATATGTTAAGGGACTAATAATTATCCTAGATTACTTTCTTTGGGCATTTAAAATAGAAAATTATATTTTTGGTAGAGCATTGCAAGATTCTGGTGATGGAATAACAATAGTGCTTGCTGGTTTCCTGAGTTTGTAAACCTGAATTCTGTCAAACTAAGAATTCACCGTATTAGAAACAATTGTTAATATAGTATTTTAGTTCATCACTATTGGTCAACATTATTTGGTGTTGGAGTTTTATGGGAGCGTTACAGGAAATGCTTGCATGGAGGTCCAGAACATTGAGATTGGAGGTCCAGAACATTGAGATTGAATACCATAGTCATGTTGTCATGAACGATCTTATCTCTAGAAAAATATACTTGATAGGTATGTCCAATTGCTTTTTTCACATAGAGGTATTTTCCCACTGATGTTTACCATGTACTTGTTGTATGATTATAGAGACAAATGTAAGTATTTGCAAAAATATGTATGTTTATGTACATGATCAAGTGATTAGAAGGTTCTGGAGATAATATATGTCTGATGACTTTAGGCTCTTTATGTTCTCTACATACCGGTGATGGATGGCTGTGAAATCCATAAAAGCCCATAATAGGGTTCTGGGCACCATATTGATTGATCATGATGCATCATCTTGTTATAAGGAAAATCACATAACATCAATTTGTATTTTCACTAGTAGATTGTATAATATTAAGACAATTTTGTTAGGTCAGCAATGAAATTTAAACATTGGGACATTTTGTTGCGGCCCTCAATGCCCCAACCACCAAACAATGAGCCCAAATCCCTTGTAAATTGTATATATTCTTGTGTTACTTCATGAAAAACTATAGGTTAGGAAATGCTCATTGTTTGATACTTTAAAATCATGACTTACTTCGAGGTATTCTGGTTGGCAATCCAGGTACTTAGAACTTACTTAACATTTCAGGAGGTTATCAAACGCAGAAACTAGGAACTTCTTTAACTTCATAGGAAGTTATCAAAAACAGAAACCATGAACTTCTATCTTCCCAGCAAGGAGGAAGTTCCAATTTACAGTTCATGAACTTACTTCTAGTTATCAAACAGGCCCTTATAAAACCTTTACATGGGAACTCTTTGGCCTAAGTACTCTTATAAAACCTTTACATGAACTTTGGTTACTTAAGGTATCTACTAAAATTTAAAATAAGAAAATATCATGTATGTGTGGTAGTTGATATTGTATGGTGGGTGTTCATCTTTAACAAAATGCTTGATCTTCAATAAATTGCTGTTTGCTTTTATATATTTTTGGTTAGTTTACAAGTGTTGTTCAATAAAATATCGATCAGTTGTGTTGTTCAAAACCTGAGAATTTTTTTAATTATTTTATTAAAATGATGGTACATTTTGTTATATTGGATTTTGGAATAAACTTACATAGTAAGGGAGATATTTCTTTGTTAGTTTGTAAGTTTGATACTATGATGTATTTCGTTCCTCTAAGAAGGCTCCCTGTGTATTAATCAATCTCTACAATATAAAACATTTATGGAAAATTGTTCCATATGGCCTGGACCACATTTCTACAATATGCGGTCTGGAGGTTTAAAGCATCCATCTTAAAGATGGATGTAAATAGGCTGTCCATCAAAAAACAAGTGTAACTAACGGTCCAACTGCTTTTTTAGGACAATTATTATTTTAAGTATTGGTGTGGTTTCTATAATGTTGCAACCTTAAACAATCCAATTAAGGCACACATCCAAATTTTTGTTTTAACATGTAATTTTAGTGTAGAAAATTAGGATTAACTGAAACTCTATTTTTTAAGCTAATTATAAACTTTTAAACTCCAAAAATAGTCAAAATAAAATAGATCTATAAATATATGAAAATCTTGAGAATGGACGGTCTAGATAATATTGCAAGATGCACTATTTTTGGAACTCAAAATCTTTGTTACTTTCGTATTTATATGTCTTGATATTGAGATGATTATTTAAAGGTTTTTTCAACAATAAAACAACACTGTCCGATGGATTTTTGAGGTGCACCTATAATTCTACATTTTAAGGTTGCAACCATATATAAACTTTTTACTTTAAGTATTCAATTTTATTTTATTTTTTCATATTCATGATCTCTTTGTTAAAGATTATATATTTTTTTAAAATTAGTATTCAATTATATTTAAAAAATATACTTATTGCCGAGCTCACATTTCTACGATATGGGGGATGGCAACATAGAAACCCTGTCCAACACACACACACATACACATATATAGGTGCCTCATCTTGTAGGTGCCTAGTTAATTCATCCATAACTAAGATAAAGAGGTAGGGGTTCAATGCTGACCTTGATATAGACCTATTGTCACCTCACTTATCTCTCCACTAGTTGTCCGTACACTAGGTAGTGCTCCATCGTAGTTATATCTTACGAAGTCGATGTAGTGACTAGAGACAATTTTCTTTTTTAACACCCATCAAATCAAATATCGAGGTGCTCTATTATAAGCTTTCTCCAGATCAATAAAGACCATGTGGAGGTCTTTTCCCTTCGCCCTAAACTTCTCAATCAGTTATCTAAGTAAGAAAATACCTATAGTTGTTGACCTTTCTAGCATAAAAGCAAATTGGTTTTTATATATACTAGTTTTATGCCTTAGTCATTGCTCAATGACTCTTTTTCAGAGCTTCAGAGTATGACTCATAAGCTTGATCCCTCGATAATTTGCATAATTATGTATGTCTCATTTGTTCTTGTAAAATACAAGAACATAAAATATTAAACATAAAATACAATATACTAAATATATATACAAGATATTATACCTTGCGTTCCCTTACATATGGATTATACATTCCATGTCGATTACATAATTTCCTTAGCAAAACAAATGGTCATAATTGGGTCCTTCCTCTGTCACAAAGCCAACGACAAGTGTTTGTTTTCTATATAGTGAGGACAATTAGAACACCAACCTAAAAATTGACCTCTGAGTGTCATATTTTTAGTGTGTCGACACCCGCCAAAAACCATAGCATATTAATGTTACCTCAAGTACTATTTTAAGGAAAAAACATGAATTCCTTTGTGGAGATAGTGGAAATAGGGCAAGACTGGCTTGAGCCCACCTCAAATCGTTTTAAGGCTAGGGCTAGTTTGGGCTTGAAACCTTTGTGTTTAGTAATGAGCCCGAGCCCCCCATAAAACCAAAATCTATTTTATTCCAATTATTTTTTTGGAATTAGTTTATAGGTCAAACTTGCCCAAGCTTCAAATCACGAAGAAATTCTCTAAAACTTTAAACATCCAACCATGTGATGCTATGATCTCTCCAAGAAAATAAATGAAAGAGAAACCATGAATCTATAAAATTAAGAAACTAGATAAAATTAGGGGCACAATTTACAGGGGAAAAGAAAATAAAAAATAAAAAAAAGCACAAGATAAAATAAAAATCATGGTCTATTCGAAAGTTGGACTATGCAATCAAGCACAATGTATATATATTAAACATTTTCTTATTTTTCTTATTCTTACACCGGTAAGACCACTCACAATGTCCAATCGCAAGATCATTCACTTACTACCACTATTCAATAGAATTCGTTAAATACAAACCTTAACTCATTGCTTTATCGGAATAAATAGCTCAACACAAAAATAAACTTTAAATAAGTAAAATTGCAGGAGCTTACCTCAACCGGGCTTGGTACAGCCCACGTCGAGTCTCTACCTTCTGATGGTGCTTCGGATCTATGATCGGTATTTTGATCCTCCTACTTATGGCAGAACCCTCTCAAATGCATATGGCTCTCGATCTAGAAGCAATTATCGAATACCTCAATGCCTACGTCTTGCTCAAGCGATGAGAGATAGAAATCAAGGACAGAGGGAGAGATCTACTAGCTAGGGGATGCCCCCCTTTGCTACCCACAAATCAAGAACCAATCCTAGCTTGGGAGTGTGCCCCTTTAGAAACTCAAGAGAGAGAGAGAGAGATACTAGGTAGGGGCATGTCCCTTAGGTTTTCTTGAGAGAAAGAGATATTGCTACGTTGGTGCGTGCCCCTCTTGTCAATTAAGGAAGACAGAGAGAGAAATCCTAGGTTGGGGCACGCCTCCTGTTAGATAGATCTTTTAAAAGAGAGAAAGAATTCTTAGAGAGAGAAGAGGGAAGAGATGTAGAGATTTAGTAAAGGGGGAGAGTCACCTTTTGATAGATTTTTTATGCCTTAGGGTTTGCCTCAATTTATAGTGTCAAATATTGACCGTCAATCTAAGGAGACTTGTGGGATAAAAGATTTGAGTCATCCATTTCTTAAATCCACTGTCAAGATTTCGAAAAGATGCTAGAATCTTATCCTCCATTTCTAAACCTATTCCCATCAAATACTTAAACAAAGAAAATACTTATTAGACTTCTCTTTTATGAATATTCATTCCTTATTTATATAATCTTGTATAAAAATCTCTTACACTTTTCATCTTGAATTTTCAACCTTCTTTCAATTTAAAACTTCCCAAAAGATAAACCTCAATTTCGATGCCTTGAACTTCAAGGAAATTAAAAATAGAAAGCAACACTCCTCTGAGTGGGACGTGCCTCCCATGGTGACCATGGGAGGTCTCCACAAAGTCCCATGTATTTAATTTAAGGTGGGTCCCATTCCTCATGGTGGATCCCCTATTTATTTATTAAATATTAATTTGATTTTAGAATATTTAGAAATAGAACTTTATTTCTCTTGTGTTATTTAAAACATTGATAATTGATTTTATCCTATATTATAAATTCAAATGACAAAAATAAAATATCAAGATAAATTCAAATAAGTATTCTAAAAATAACATATAATATACATTGATTAAAACTAATTAATTTTGATGGGAATTGGATCTGTATAGGTCTAGGAATTATCAATATGTCTAGGAATTTTCAATCTACCGAAGCACTCCACCTTCAACTATGGACCACGATCCACACTAGCTTTCTCAAACTGATCCAGCAGTTTCCATGGCCCACAACCCACTATAGGGGCTCATGATTGGACCGCAAAAGTTAGCCAATATGCTTGGTGACATAATCACAGTATGTGGATTTCAGGTTCTCTCGTAGAGACAAACCATGGTCCCACGACCATGATGTAACCACGATCCTGTGGTGCATAGGGGTAATCTCTCGCGCATGTACACGCTTCACCCTTACTGGTAGATCACTATCACTATATGGTTATCTATATACATGTCGTATGATGATATTAAGATAAGGTTTTAGCCCTGTCTCTAAAGGCTAGTCGTCATAAGTAACGGTCTCACAGTCCCTCAACTCTCACTCGGGTATACTTTGACCTCATCAAAAGCTAATTCACTAAACTTTTCTTGGTTTTATCTCTATGCCCAGGTACCTTGGGTTTTTCCAACTCGACTGACCAAACACATCGAACCTATTTCGAGTATCGAAAATTCTCACGTGCTTACCATATTTGAATGAAGCAAGTCCAGTCCATTTTCACTTCCAATAAGATCTTCTGGCCAAAACCCTAACTAACCCTAGTTATTTAAGAAAAAAAAGTAACAACTACTTAATTAAAGAAATCTAACCTTCTAAAACACCAAGAAAACTATCCTCTAAACAAAACAATAAAAATATAAAATAATAATAATAATAATTGTGAGAGGTAGGAGGAGAGGGAGTGAGAGAGAGAGAACGAGCTTCAATTGAGAGTAGAGAGATAGGAGAATCATAGCGAATTGGAAAAGAGAAAGGTTCATTTGAGATGAGAGAGAGAGAGAGCTTCAACTGAGACTAGATAGATAGGTCCATAGAATCATAACCAGTGGCAAGAGAGAGCTTCATGAATGAGAGAGAGAGAGACAGAGAGAGAGAGAGAGAGAGAAAGAGAGGGTTTAGATTAGTTTTATCGAGAGAAGCTCACGCGCCTAGGGTTTCAGAGAGAGTGTGAGAGTCTCAGGCGGCTATAAAGTTAGAGTGGTAATTGGACAACTGGACTGCAGTTATATCTAGGGTTTTGAATGTGAACATTGCAGATGCAGCTCTTGATCCTGCAGTTCAAAATAACTAGCAGAGCAAAGCCTTTCTACATCAAGGAACACACCCATAATAAACTAATAAATAGAATAAGGAAAAGCCATGAATCTGTGGTCGAGTTTCTTCTAACCCTGCAATGTTGGGGCAGTAGAAGAGGCACCAGCAAGCAATTTGGAGAAGTAAAAGAGAATATGAGGCATTCAATTAATTTTTTAGCACGTATAGGATGCTCCCGAACATTATACACTTGTACTTGGGCAAAAGAGCTACTTCCGAGGATCTTTTTAGGTCTTACATTTTGCAATCTAGTTTAATACTAAACACAGATCTGACCATACAAAAATTTGAGAGTCTTTTGTCATTCTAACTCTACATACGATTTTACCCGAGGGAGTGTACAAACAATATGCTGCCATGGTAGCATTTAGTCGGTGGCTTTAATCTTATGTCAATGTCCAAGTATTTGTTGGGGATACAGAGAGCTTATCTCTTGATATGAGCCCTAATTCCATTTAAG